AATGTAAACTGATTTAAAAGCCTTTTTTATGTTAAATGAATTTTAAAAAGTAATATTTTTTCAAATAATTCATTCGTGGGCCTGACTGAAGTCACTCGCAGGCCGGATGTGGCCAGTGGGCCACCAGTTGATTAGCTCCAGTGCATCGCCTGTGGCTGATAATGCTTTGACTTTGTTACTATCATGTTAGCAAAATATCTCATAAAACCACTAAGCAGATGTTAATGAAAATCTAAAAAAGTATCCAGATGGACGTTCACAACTAATTTGCTTTTAAATTAAGTGACCCCATCCACCAGGTTTAGCCTTCAAGCTAGATGAGGCACACACCCCATCAAGATAACTRATCAAACTAAGCAGTTTATTTAAGATGCTAAACTTTCATCTTCACACTGCCAATGAGCCCTATCACTGCTGCTGCTGCTTGTTTCTTTCAGTCCCTTCYTCACACCAGCAACCACCCGTAGGCTCTGAGGTTAATAACACTTTTACTTCTCCGTGGCGCTGAGCGTCACTGACGTGTGCAGGAAGTGGGTGGCTTGAGATACTCTCATCTCTCTGTGGTGTGATGTGAGATGAGATCAGAGCATTTAAAATGCCTTGTACAATGAAGACATTTTAACCGTCACACGGGAGATGTCTGACTGAAAGGCTGCTTGTTGCTTATGATGGGTAAAGAGGAGTCCGAGCACGGTGTGTCATTTGGCAGCTGAAGGAAATCTGTGCTATTAAAGCCGGGCACTCTTGGCTGATTGGTGAATAATAGTAATAAAAAACAGCTCCAGCCAAATTTACTAAAACAATTTTTTTTTAATTTAATGTGGAGTCAGTTTGTCCTTCAGCTCTCGGGTCTGCAACAAAGAGAGTCTGATTGCTTGATTTGAACAACTTCTTTGCCCTCTCACAAGCTTTCAATTATAATAAATTAGAAKCAGATGGAATAAAAGCCAACTGGCAAATGATAGAAAGCCCTCTTGCTCTTCAGCAATCACRGCTTCGAATCATTTATGAGGCTGCTCAGGAGGCAGCGAGTGCTCACCTGTGCACAGGCACCTTTGAAAGTATTCTCAACAGTTAATGCTCGCCTCCAAAACACTGGAAGTTTTAATGAAAAATTGTTTACTGATTCATCTTGTCTTTCTTCTGTGTGTGTGTGTGTGTGTGTGTGTGTGTGTGTGTGTGTGTGTGTGTGTGTGTGTGTGTGTGTGTGTGTG